TCATACCTAACGCCAATAAGTCGAGTGCTTGATTCTTTGTAGGGTATACTGTCGCATTCCTTGTTGCGTCGTGTTTAGAAAAAATGCAGGGTACCTCGTTAAAAATATTTAACCTTCCACAGGAAGCGCTGTATGCTAGCTTTGTTGCCGAGCAAACTGTGGGTCTTCCAACGTTCATCCAAGTTTCTGGGCTGACAAGGGTAATATCAGAAGCTGTTAAAGACGAGTGCAGTGTTTATTGATGTCCACAGTTAAATGTTTTCTTCGGTGGTAAATTCCTGCTCAGTTAAGAACTATCAATGTCTCGTTAGTTGTCTTACCAGACCTCCATTTCTTAAAATAATGTTTCGATAGGTGAAATCGAGTTCTTATTTTGACTCTGGCTTCTTTTTACCCTTTAAAGTGCCATTTAGCACAACAGTGTTTTTTATATGGACAGAAAATTTTGTAATTCCAACCTCAACATGATCAGCATGGAGATGGAGGCTGGTTGTCTATGTGAGATGGTTTTTGTGAGCCGGAATCTTTCTGTTCGCTCGCATAGTGGTTGGTTATTGTTTTCGATCACGTAAGTATCATGTTTCAAGGACTCTAACCTCTGGTGTTTCGTTATTACTTTTACATACTTATGTTCCGGTATTACTCAAAATTTTGACTCTGATATCAGCATCATTAGGAGATTGGAGAGTTCATACAAACACAAGACAGTTAAACTGGTCTTCTGTCATTACTGATGTTTTAAATCGCTTGTACTCGCGAATAGCTAAACTTGCGTGTCTCGCCCATCCATCTTCACCAGCTTTTGTCATCTTGATGGACTGGTAGCAGATGTCAAAGTAGGATATTTGTTCAGCCAAAGCTTGTGGTAAGATATCCCATGTTGTATCAAAAAATTTCCTGGGTTCTTTGGACGGACGAAGTTACAGTAACTTTCGCATCCAGAAGTGCCAAATTTCCTTAGGAGTGTAGATCACTAATGCAGATAATCTGTGTCTGATGTTTGCGGGCATGTTCGTGTTAGACGAGGTTATTGTAACAAGCCGACCAACATCAAATTCATACCTCGCGACCAGCTTCTAAAGTAAATTACCCTTTCGACGTATCGAGATACTACGGCTGCTTTAAAGACCGTACAACACGAGAGATGTTATTGCAGAAATATATTAGTAAACGTAGGTACAAGAAAGAGAGTGAGACGACCACTGCGTTGGCTAGTCCATGGCGCGCAATTAACTGGTGAGCGTTGATTATACTTGAACTTGACGAAGGTTAGTGAACTGTTCGACATTCAGTGACCTGACTACCGGATGATTTTGCTATGTTTCAGTGACATTTCACTGGCCCAACAATAGTATTCTGAACTTGGCGGCGTCATCACGTTTGTTGAGATCGACCTGAAACAAATCTTTTGTTTCTTGAACCAGGAATTTAGTGTTACGACAGCCAAACCACCAAAACGAAATTCATGGATAAAATCGGTGACAGGATCAGTATGTGGGTTATATGAATCATCAGTAAGCCCTACGCGATTAAGGTTCATTTGTTGAGTTAGGATTTCCAGGATACGAACTCAGAACTGTTCATATTGTTTGTCCCTACATTCAAACAAAGATTCTGTCTGTTAAAGAGTGATTACATTGTCCTTCATTTGATTACAGCAGAATGAGATGTACAACTAACGGCAATCAAACACTTGGAACCTCGCAAATCAAAAGACGGAAGAAGTAGGGGAAGTGATCAATTGTTAAGAGTCAAGGTAGTACGGCAAAACACGGATATTTATGGTCATTAGCGTTAGCTACAATATCATTATGATCCTGCCAATCTTCAAGGAGGCAAGTAATGCTTTCATCCAAGCGTAGCATGCCGAGCTGATATTCTATAAAGCTCAGTCATGTTCTGATTGACTGGAGTCTCTTTGGCCCCCTTAGAGCCTCAAGAAGGTTCGCCGTGCCTATCAAAGCTGTTCTAACAGTTTCAAAGAAAGATCACGGCCACCTGTGTATGAACAGGTATATTCGACATCTACTAAAAGGAGGAAATAAATGTTGGAACTTCGTCATCAGCCTTGAAACAGCAAGTAGGATGGAACGCTGCAGCTCATTGCTCAATAAATGTGCTAGTACAATTCGGGCAGCTCACAAATCATATGAAAAACAGTTAACCCAATCTGTCACCCCAATGACTACGATACTTAATATGTTGCTTGGCCAAGGTGAGTTACCTACGAACTGGAAGGGTGAAATTGTTACTTTAAAACATAAAACAGGATCAAGACAACTTCTATCAAAATACAGACCTGTTAGCTTTGTTGAATTATGGTCTACTATGATATTAGTACTGCTCTAATAATAGACATAATCCTAAAATTGTACATTTCACATGATGCAACTACCTAATCTGTACGGTCTTACGTGGAAGTCACATTATTATCCACACCAACTCACGGCGTCGTAACAATCATCAATATGTGATGGATAATGCACTTAGGCTAGAGACAGAACAATGTATTTAATATGAATAAAAGGTATATAACAACATTCAATGATAGCCATGCTTGCAAGGCCGAGCCATGCCATCCGACCAATTCGAATTCACTCTATTCATTGTTACCGCCTTCTCCATCGCTGGGTTTTTCTCCGAATTAAATGTTGAATATCTATTTCCCTAACTGTCCCGTGTTCAGCTCTGAAGATTGTGTAGTTAGAGCTCAATGCCACTACAACCCCACCAGTGTCCTATTTAACGTGGATGCTGCGACTGATGGGAAATGAATGACGTGGAAGCATTGAAGAGAAGGGAAGATAGCCAAAAGTAACATGCGTTTAGTTGGAAAGTTCATGGTGGACTCAAATTCTGCGTGTAAGATTATTCCGCCAAAGTCCCAAAGGGACTGACACCACGGTTGAAAGCCGTGAACACTACTTCAAAAGAAGTTAAATGCCTTCCTATTTTAATTATTTGGAATCTAGAGGAGTCGAAGGACAATGACCCTGCTAAAAGACATGCACACGATCTGCAGTTAGTGGAATCTGTGATCCGAAATGTAATACCTGAAGAGGTTCCAGGGGTACATATCACGAAAGTAATACGACTTGGTAAATGGGTTGAAGGCGAGACCCAACCAAGAAGGATCTTGAAGTTGGTTCTCGGGAATTTCGAGGAAAGAGATATAATATTGAATAACGCACAAATAACTCGTGATTCAAATATTCATATCCGACCAGATTGGCCGCTTGAGGATCGAATCAAATGGAAGAGTGCTCTTACGGAGTCAAGGACTCGAAAGTTAAGTGGTGAAAATAACCTTACGATTAAGGGTTTTCGGGTAGTCAGATCTTGGAAGTCAATGCTTCGGAGGGCTGTGTGGGTAGGACGAATGATTCCCAAAACACCTTAAATGTGTGCTACACGAACGCCCGTAGTCTTAGAAATAAACGTCCGAGCTAAATCTGATGGTGGATGAATGAAGTCCCGATATATTTGTTGTTGCAGAAACTTGGTTCATCGTAGATATAGAATGTTCTCCCATCATTGCAGGCTATATCTGTATTATAAACGATAGAGTTTAACGTCGCAAGGGGGAGGCGTAAGGTTATACGTTAGGGATCACTTTCGCATACAATCAATCATATAGGAGACGCATGTTAATTGTACATGTGAGGTAGCATGTTGTAAAATTAAATCTGGAAATCGGTTGGTGACTATAGGAGTAGTATATCGTAGTCCGTGTTGTCTCGCCGACGACCTTATCTTAAGACACAACTACTCTTAGAGTAAGGCAGAATGTTGTCTCATCACTGGGGACTTCAACGCACCGCATATCAACTGGATAGAGCTTACAGCTCCAAGTGGAGGTTTCGATAGCGACCTTCTATCAACTGTTATTCAGAGTGTGCCCGTACAATGTATCGCGAAACCGACACACATTGAATTGAAACATGATCCGTCACTGCTGGAGCTTGTCCTCACCCACTACTGTGAGGATGTCTTTGATATTCAGCACCTTCCCCCACTAGTGAACAGTGATCACGTTGTAATTCACTTTAAGTTTAGGACACGTGGTATACAATTGGTATCTGCTCCACCCCGTCCCAATATTTGTCGAGCTAATATTCCGGAAATCAGAAACTGTGCTATCTCAACTGATTGGTCGGTCGACTCGGATGGATTGATCGAAGATGAATGGAATAAGTTTGAGGCTACATTCGAGTCCGTAACGTCGCATGGTCGATCCCACGGTCAGCACGTAAGCTATCACATTGCCCTCCATGGATTAATAAGGAAACCCGGAAGCTGTTAAAGCGTAGAAAAAATTTCTGGGACTTATTCCTGTTGACAGGTCATGCACTATTTAAGCGTGAGTACCAAAAATACCGTAATATCTGTAAGAAAACCATAGCGAAATCCCGTACCACTTACGAACGACAGTTAGTATATGATAGCCGTACTTGTCCGAAACGATTGTTGCAATCTAATAAACTTAAAGTGGGATTCCGTTTTTCTCATCGAGTGGTCGATGACTGAAAAGCCTCACTCGAACAAGTGGTATCAGCCCCATCTGTGAATATTTCAAGGAGAAGCTGGACCTCCACCCGGAGGCAATCTATCAGGATTAACACAGGTTCACTAACCTACTATCCTTATTACCGAAGACTAAAGAAGCTGGACCTCTTTACTCTGTCCTACCTGTCTGATTTTGTACGTGACATATCCTCTCTTTTTTCCTAACAGGTCAGGACAACTCACTGGACATACCAGGCAAGTACAAAAGCCAAGAACGAACAAAATACTCGTGACATACAGGTTTTCACAACGAGTCAACAATTCCTGTAACCTGTCACCCGAAGAAATCGTGTCCGCCCCTTCAACTAACTCATTCATGAGAAGACTAGACACTCAGAAGTTTACTAGGATACGACTAAAACAGGCCGTGTGCCTTTCGTCCTCAATACACAAAGCTGGATCTGAATCTGATGAACCAATCGTTTTCCGTCAGTTTGACCTTCAGATGCTCGCAACCTCCACCATATCGTTGCGAAGAGGTAAGGTGTTTCCGTGCTTTTCATACATTATTGGGATATTTATTATAATAACTAGAAATTGTTTGTGGAGTAAATTTTCACAACCGAACTTTAATTTCTATGGCATGTACACCTGCCAACACTATGTATCAACCGGTCATACAGAAAATCGAGAACTACGACACTATCAGCGAGCTCATTTGTCAAAGAATGCATAGTGGGATCTGGTTTGTATATAGAAAAAAAGTTGATTTTAAATTCTTAGCCGTTCATGATTTAAAAATATCACTTTAGCTAAAGTTTCGCATAAGCATATTGTCTAAAGTAACTTGATTCGTACGTGCGGAATAACGTTATTCCGACAATCGGATTGAAGAAATTAATAAGTAATATAGATTCACACCTTCAGATAGGTGTGTTTTCACTGTTCGAAACGCCACATAATATTCTTGGACCAAATGAAGAGCATATTTGTCCTATATTTCACAGCATCAACGTTTGACCTACGCTAGCCCTTCTAGTAAATGTTCCTGTAGCATTTATTCGAACAGAATATTAGATTAACCCATTCTTATTACTACACAGGATGTTCCTGAACCTGATGCTGCTTCAATCTAGTGGAGCTAAAGTTTCAGTTTGGAAAGGACAGGAGACTAGATGGCCTGGTTTAGTCCTGGCAATTGTGGTCTCTCAGTTGATCTTTCTTTTAAAAGCGTTGGCAGATAAAGCTTCAATCACTTGTTGAGGGAATCAATTTCATTCGATAGTCATCTGACCAGTAGTTTGTTCTGGGTTTGTGCACTTTCTCAGTGTCCTCGTAAATTCTGTTTTAAAAGACAAAACGTGAGGGCATATCGAATACAAATTAACCTCTGGTTCTCCTACGTGACAATGGAAATATGTTTGATTTAGCCAGTCGAGCATCGAACGGGAGCTTTGCTATCCTGAGAATCAGCTTAGTTGTGTTTTTTTAATAGTAGTTTTGATACGTAATAAAAGATCAAAACAACAAACTTAAGATGGCTGTCTACTAATCCCGCTGTAAGAACAACACTAATGGTGCACCAATTGGTTACTCAGTAACGACAGAATCACAATTTCCATAGGGCTCTCTGCTGAACAGAAAATATACCTTCATCGTGCATCTGAGAATCAATTCTGACAAAGAGGTATCTCAGTATCAGACTGAACTCGATGTCGCTTAAAAATTCATGCAAACAGCTATGGAAAAAACAGCAACATTCATTAGAGATTTGAACCAAAAGGGTCACGAGAAACCAGTGGATTTCTAATAAGTCTATTGCACTGATAGATTCTCGTCAACTCATTCCATCAGGCTCTAAGCATGATGAAAAGCGTAAGCAAATCAGTTCTAGGTTAACCAAAAGTCTAAGGAACGACAGTGAGCAGTGGAGAGCAACGAAGGCAAAAGAGAAGGAAAAGGAAGCGACTGTAGGTAACGCCCGATAGCTTTTCAGACTAATGAAAGAAACAGGAATTAAGAGACCAAATGTGAGAAGATCTCGGGAAAAGACTACACTTTTATCTGCTCTCAGCCTGCTATGTTAGGAGAGATTACGAGTTCACCTAATCTAAGAACGAACGACACAAAGATGGCTAAGTTAGCTATTGCGACGCGTCCCAGCCCAGCTAACTAGAGAGAGAAGTCCAAGTTTGGAAGAAAGAAGTATATTCCTCAAGGGGCCAGAAACACGAACAACCACGACAAGTCTACTCGGAAATACACTGATTTATATATTGATTCATACACCCGTTTTTGATCAGTAATTAGAACAAAATCACATATATGAACAATACTTAGTTATAAGAGATCATATGCTGAGTATAGTTCATGTTAATTTAATAATATATATTTTAAAGAATAAAGTGTCATACGGGGAAACAAAAATACTATACTGAGTAATCATCACATTGAATTAAAACAGAATTAATTTTGAACAAAAATCATAATGAATAAATCAATCTAATTTTGACTTTTTATCCCGTCATATCGCAGCCCAGACGTTTAGAATGATGGGCGGAGCACTTTAAGGAGCAGTTAAGCTGGCTTTTATCCACTCTACAGCTACCCACCATTCCCAAACAGCCTGATTGGAAAATTAAAGTAGGCCTCAAACTCTAATTGGATTTCAAAAAGCTATAGCTAATCTTAAACGAGGAAGAGCAGCTGGTCCAAATAGAATGTCTCCAGAGGTCTATAAATATGTTGGTTCAGTTTAAGCGAATTTTCAGTAATTGGTCTCCTACCAGGTGGTCTACTTATCGACTAATAATACGCAGATGACATAGTCTTGTTTGGTGAAGACGTTGATAAAATTCAGTCTTGGTAGCACTGAGCAACAATGCTAGAATGTTTGGGATGCATCTAAATGAAAATTGTTGCTTCAGGACTGGCCTGCATCAACACTTGAACTAAGGATAGGGAGTGAAGTAGTCAAACGCGTTTACAGCTTCACTTATCTTGGAAGTTCGATGAGCCCTAGTGGATTGGTGTTTGACGGAATGTGTGCACGATTCAGAAAGCTCGTTTGGTTTTCGCCAACTTATGCCACCTGTGGCGAAGGCGAGATATCCGTCTATCAATTGAAGGACGAGCAAACTGCTCAGTAGTTCGTTCTATTCTATTTTACGGCTGCGGAACGCGGCTGTTAAAGGTAGAAGATACTCGTAAGGTGCTATTATTTGATCACAGATGTCTTGGAAATATTGCTCGCATCTGCTGGGATCACTGGGTAATAGTGAGGTCAGACTCAGGGTATTAGGGAGTGGTGGTTAGTCAGTTGATGAGGTTGTGAATCTTTATCGACTGAGATGGTTGAGCCACATGTTACGGATGCCTGAACACCGATTACCACGACGTGTAATGCTGACTAGTATTGGGGATGGTTGGAAAAAAGTTAGGGTCGGCCAAACGAAAACTTGGCATCAATGCTTGAAATCAGTAAGTTGTGTTCTGAGCCATGTTGGTAGATGCAAACTACTTGGTTGTGGTCCGTGTGACTATTGTATCGAATGGTAGGAGACTGTGAGTGACATGGCTGAGGATTGTTCACAATGGTATAGGTGTGTACATCCTTTGTCTTCCCTTAAACCCTGAAACTAAAATTGCTTTATACCTTTATTTCTACGAACTAATTATTTCTTCCTGTATTATATCCTTATACAATCTTTTATATATTAGTACCATTTAAGTAACTGCTTCGATGAATTTTTTGTTCATCTTGTTGTGCTAATGAGGTATGTAAACTTAGACCGATGTACTCATGTGACTGGTCGTAAGTTGTAGCTGACTGAATGAAGATCAGTGGATCTGTGTTGGACATATCTCCTAGGAAATGAAATCAAGTCTTTTTGTTTAAAACTATTTAACGATTGTGTAGTTTGTCGCTCATCTTTCCTGTAGGGTCGTTTTCAGGAGATGGTTTCCGGAATTTATAATGCTCACTAAGTAATGTATTTAACTTTTCTATATAGACTAGTTTATTGACGAGGAGGACGGATCCCATGTTTTTGATAATGGTTGAGTTTTCACTTTTTTAGTTTAAGGTTCTTTTGTGTTTTTGTTTTTAAAAACCTACAAAAGTCGACTTAATCCTTTATTGACCCTCTTAGTCGGTGTGGTTGACCAAAAAACAATATATGATTAACGTTAATGTAATATGAATTTGCAATTATAGAGCGAATTCGGTAGATACGAGACAATAAATACATTCGATTGTTGTAACAGAGCATTGATTAGGATAATGATTGAGGTACCAACTGAGGTTTGAATAATAGGTTGTGTGACGGCGACTAGGGATTGAGAACAAAAGTACGGAAGGCAGCGCGTGTATCAAGTGAGCAGTAATCGTTATATTATTCAGATGATGATGACGTTCTACATAATACCCGGAACAATATTTTGTATTGAATAACCATAATTGTACAATTAAAGCGAAATTATGAGAGATTTGGTCTACATTAACAGTTTCTACATAGCTTTCTCTTTGAGTTTCCAGATGGAACACTGATACAAACGTAAGTGGAAAAATACGTAATAAAACTCAAATATCGTAGTGCTCTTCTGTGAGAAAATTCTGTGTAAATATGTGGGTTTGGTGTGTGCGTACTATGCTAATGCACAGAATTATTGTGCATGTTGAGTATGGAGAAAGGGGAAAATTCAAATAATAATGTACAATAATAACAATAAACTCTAGTCATACATGCGAAAAATCGATGTGATACTTAACGATGAAAAATAACCAGAACTACGGACATGTTTAGCTAAGATGTATATATTTTAATTTAAATGATGGATAGCTAACCAAACAGAATATAAGTAATTCTATGACAGTTGCGTATGGATAAAAAATTTGTTAGTTAGTGCAAAGAGAAAAAAGTTTAAAGAATTTTACAAAATTAATCAGCAAAATAAGTACAACATTTAGGTCTGTTTATTACTCCACCAAAACGAGTTACATATGTAGGGTTTAGGGTTGGATTGTTGTTGGTTTCTGGCGTAAAGGTCCCCTAACTGAACCTTCATCCATCTAACTAACATTATTCTATCATAAAATTCAATATTAAGGGGTATTACTTGTAAATGAGTCACATCAAAATCAACACTCGACAAATTATGAATAGCAACAACTTAGACTTGTCGGGAGTTAAGGTCTTGGAGTTCGGTATTAAAGCTCTGAACTAACTAGATACGATCTTTGTCTTTGCTGACGTTCATTGCTTGGATCATTTATTCTGAAAATTTTTGCTCCTAGTATTTAGGGAGTTTCTCAACTGCTTAGGATCTCTCAGCAGTATTCTTCGTCAATTTGATAATATACAATTTGATTGAGTCCCTCTGTTTCAGAGCTTAAATTTTTAATGTTCCTCCGTTTTGTCGGATTCTGTTTTGATATAGTGCTTTTCACCATGTTCTCGGATGTCGATTCTTTCCTATATATCTCTAAAATTTATAGACATCTTCGCTCAACTGAGTTTTGTGCTATATATCAAATATTCCTATCAAGATATACTTGTTTGTAAAACCTATACATCAGTTTCGAGCTATAACGAGGAACTAACTCAAAAGAAACATTTCTTCACCCGACTTGTATAAAAATAATGATTATATTGAGATCTCCTGATGTAGTAATCTAGTTTGGGATGAAGTATATGTTCTTTTTCCTGTCCTTGCCATCCTTTTTGGATTAAGTCATGTAAATCTGTATGGTTTTCCCATCCCATTTCTATAATCTATATTCAGTGCGTGTTAGTGATATTTTAGTAGTTATTTTCCATTGTGTTTCACATATCATTCATTTACTGAAATTATACAAATTCCAAAGCCATCGTTTTTTGATAAGGCTAAGGCTTTACTCAGAAGACTCAATTTCTAAAATACTTTTTAGATTATATATCGTTTTGCGCGGAATCCTTATAAATTGGCAATGACCGTACTGGGTCTAGATAAAATTCTTTTAAGGAGTTTCGCTCCATGGGAACCTTTATTTCTGAAAGATACTAAAGTTGTTGTGGACGCTGACGACTTAGTTGGTTTTCTACATGATAAATTTTCTACAGGACTGTATGGTGGTGAGAATCTTTCTTTTTACATGGTGGTACGTTCGTTCTTTTTGAATTTGCAATGTTCGAATGTGGAGCCGTACTTCATTCTAAGGGGTTGCTGTGAAATGAAAGTAAGGGCTTTTTAACAAAAATTAACATAACTCCTAATCCTTACTTACACGTTGCAAATTGCTTTTATTTATACTGTGAACTTATATCGTTCTCCAGTATCCTGGATAAACATCTCAAGATTAATACAATTATTTGTTTAATTTGTGTAGTGTTCCCATACTGAAGTACTTGACAAGTTTGTTTTATTAAAACACATCATCTGAGCCTTTCCTAAATCACAATTAGGAATTTCAAGCTATCTTGGTCAATCTTCATGTAACTTCTTCGAAACACCAGTCCGAAGAAGTATTTTTAAAATATTCACTTCTGTATATCGTCAGCAATTTAACTGGTATTAACGTCAGTTACTTCTATGTAGCCTAAGACTGAGTAATCCGATTTGTTAGAAACCATCCAAACCATAAGTTCAGGATTATATAGGAACAGTGGTGTGATTTTTTTTATCATAAGCATAATTTCATAGTCACTTAATTTCAAAGATCTCTTTAGAATACAATAATTACTTACTTACTTACGCCTGTTACTCCTCGTGAAGGAGCATAGGCCGCTCACCAGCGTTCTCCATCCAACCCTGTCCTGGGCAATCCTTTCTAGGTCCGTCCAGTTGTAATTCGTCGTTTTCATATCTGCTTCTATTATCCGACGCAATGTGTTCTTTGGCCTTCCTCTTTTCCGCCTTCCTTCAGGATTCCAAGTTAGGGCTTGTCTCGTGATGCAGTTTGACGATTTGCGTAATGTATGTCCTATCCATTTCCATCGTCTTTTCCTAATTTCTTCTTCAGCTGGAAGTTGGTTTGTTCTCTCCCACAGAAGGCTGTTGCTGATGGTATCCGGCCAATGGATGTTGAGTATCTTGCGAAGACAGCTATTTATAAATACTTGTACTTTCTTGATTGTGGTTGTTGTAGTTCTCCAAGTTTCAGCTCCATACAGTAGAACTGCCTTGACATTCGTATTGAAGATTCTCACTTTGATATTGGTTGAAAGTTGTTTTGAGTTGCATATGTTCTTCAATTGTAGGAATGCGACCCTTGCTTTGCCGATCCTCGCCTTTACGTCTGCATCTGAGCCTCCTTGTTCATCGATGATGCTTCCTAGATATGTGAAGGATTCTACATCTTCCAGAGTTTCGCCATCAAGTGTGATTGGATTGCTGTTCTCCGCTTTGAATTTGAGGACCTTAGTTTTCCCTTTGTGTATGCTGAGGCCTACTGATGCAGAGACTGCTGCTACACTGGCTGTCTTCATCTGCATCTGTTCGTGTGTACGTGATAGGAGGGCTAGGTCATCTGCGAAGTCCAAATCGTCTAATTGATTCTGAGCTGTCCATTGTATTCCGTGTTTTCCTTCAGATGTTGAGGTCTTCATAATCCAGTCGACCACCAGAAGAAAGATGAAGGGAGAGAGTAAACAGCCTTGTCTGACTCCGGTTCCTACTTAGAATGCGTCTGTCAGCTGTCCTCCATGCACTACTTTGCACTATAGTCCGTCGTATGAGTTCCGGATAATATTGACAATCTTCTCAGGAATTCCGTAGTGTCGAAGAAGTTTCCATAACGTCCTCCTGTCTACACTGTCGAATGCCTTTTCATAATCAATGAAGTTGATGTATAATGATGAGTTCCACTCAACTGATTGTTCGACCATGATCCGTAGTGTCGTGATTCGGTCTGTGCACGATCGATCCTTACGGAATCCAGCTTGTTGATCTCGAAGTTGGGCGTCTACTGCACCTTTCATCCGGTTCAGCAAAACTATGTCAAAGACTTTCCCTGGTACTGACAGTAGTGTTATGCCTCTGTAGTTTTCACATTCGCTCAGGTATCCTTTCTTTGGAATCTTGACGAGGTGTCCTTCTTTCCAGTCCATCGGCACTTGTTCCTCTTCCCAAATCTCTTTGAATAGAAGATAAAGCATGCTTGTGGTTGTTTCGATGTCTGATTTCAGTGCTTCAGCTGGTATGTTGTCGGGTCCTGCTGCTTTCCCGTTCTTGATTTGTCTGACGGCCATTCTAATTTCTTCCGTAGTTGGTGGATTGACATCTATAGGAAGATCTATGTGTGCTGCTTCGATGTCCGGTGGATTCATTGGAGCCGGCCTATTCAGGAGTTCCTCGAAGTATTCTACCCATCTGTTACGTTGTTGTTGAATTTCGGTGATTGGCCTGCCTTCTTTGTCTTTGACCGGCCTCTATGGTTTACTGTATTTCCCTGATAGTTTCTTCGTTGTATCGTAAAGCTGTTTCATGTTTCCTTCTCTAGCAGCTTTTTCTGCCGTCGTTGCTAGTTCTTCAACGTATTTCTTCTTGTCGGCTCTAATGCTCCTCTTCACTTGTTTGTTTGCTTCTATGTATTCAGCTTGTGCTTGGACTTTCTCTGCTCGTGTTCGGCTGTTGTTTATTGCTGCCTTCTTGTTCTTCCTTTCTTTGATCTTGTCCACTGTTTCTGTAGAGATCCATTCCTTATGATGGTATTTCTTTAGACCGAGAACCTCTTGACACGTTGAAGTTAATGCTTCCTTGATGCCTTTCCAGTTGTCCTCCATAGTAGTTTCTTCTTCTTTCAGTAGATTTCGTAAGGCTTGGAAACTGTTGTTGAGAGTTATCTTGAATTCATTGAGTTTGACAGTATCTCGAAGGAAGGCTGTATTGAACCTTTGTAGTGCTGTTTGTCCACTTGTCCAGTTCTTTTTTAGCTTCAGTTTCAAATTGGCTACAACTAGGTGGTGATCTGAAGCTACGTCAGCACCTCTCCTGGTTCTCACATCTTCCATTGTCCTTCGGAATTTTTTGTTGATGCAAATATGATCTATTTGGTTCTCTGTAGTGTGGTCCGGTGAGATCCATGTAGCCTTGTGTATACGCTTGTGTGGAAATATTGTGCCTCCTATGACCAATTTGTTGAATGCGCATAGATTTGTAAATCTTTCTCCATTTTCGTTTCTTTCTCCCAGTCCATGTCGTCCCATAATATCTTCATATCCAGTGTTGTCTAGTCCGACTTTGGCATTGAGATCTCCCATTAGAATGGTGAGGTCTTTTCTTGGGCATTTCTCTATCACTGACTGCAGCCGCTCGTAGAACTGATCTTTAATGTCGTCGTTGCTATCATTGGTGGGTGCATAACATTGGATAATATTCATTAAGATCCCCTCCTTCTTTGTTTTGAATGATGCTTTGATGATTCTGGATCCGTGAGATTCCCATCCTACAAGTGCATTTCGTGCTACTTTGGACAGCATTAGAGCGACTCCCTGAGTGTGTGGAGCATTGTCCTCTTCGTGACCGGAGTATAGCAGCATCTCTCCCGTAGCTAGCCTTTTCTGTCCAGCTTGGGTCCAGTGGGTTTCGCTGATTCCCAGTACTGCTAAGTTGTATCTCCACATTTCCATTGATATTTGACTGGTCTTCCCGGTTTCCCACATTGTTCGAACGTTCCATGTACCTATAAAAATTTTTGCTCTGGTTGTTAGAAGGGGCATCGGCCTCGTGGCTTCCGAAGGAACTCGGCTTTCACCATGAAGCGTCATAATTCTTCTAAATGAAGACCTTCTAACTCCCAGGGCAGAGTTAAAATGGTTTGGATTATTCTTTCTGGTAAGCGTTTTTTTAGCGAGATAGTTTTCTACGGGATGGGGACGCTAACCCCATGCCCAACCCTCCTCCTTTACCCGGGCTTGGGACCGGCAGCAACAATAATAGTGGACGGTATATTCTTTCAAGTTCTCAATGTTTTAAGTGTAAGCAATCAAATGGGAACAAGTAAATTTAGGTGATTTAACGAGAAAAAGTTCATTGGGCTGTAGCATTTCCGCAGTCAACTAGGCTTGTTTTTGTCTGATCAAATATAAAAAGTCACACGACCTTTCTTGTTTAAGTCCTTTGTTAGTGATTCGTCTACCATTCGTAAGTAGTGCATTTATAAATGGTGTTCTGCCACCACATGAACTTAATGGCCTGACGAAATTGATAGAATTACTTAATCTCTAACTGATCAGTACTTTCTTTACAAAGGATGAGTGTGTCATTCATATATTGAGATTAAAATGAAGACTTTTTATCCCACTGTGCACGTCACCTGTTTTCTGGTTTATCTAAAAAGATATCCGTTAACGTGAGACCCTACACCAAAACCATTTCTACTGCATTCAGTTGTTTGTATATTCCTCCGGTAGACATGACGTTCACATTCATGGTTCATTTTAGCACATTTATTTAGGTTCCAATGTGTATTTCGGTCTCTCCAATTTGGCTTGATATATAAAAAAACTGTCCATAGTTGGAACATTTGTGTGTAATGATCTCACATTTAAAGATAGCAATAGTATGTCTTCTCATTCGGAGCTCGTTATATTCCGAAATACGGTGTATAAGGATGGAAACTAATTTTAATTTCGCATATCGATGTAAGTTAATTTTTATTAAGTCAATTTCAATGCATTCTCGTTGAACTAGAGTAAATTCTACTCATTAACTTTCAATGTATTTCCAATTGTAATAAGTTATTTGACTCTCAATCAATTTTTTATATATTGGTTATCTTATATTAATTTTGTGCTTAGTGATAATTACTTGGTTGGTAAAATTCTGAAATTAATGGTCATTGGTTTGATATATAACTAAGTTAACTTGATTGTAAATCAGTCTTCTTTAGTCTCTTTCGATGAATTTTTCTTATCAAAAGTTTTCTTTTGGAATAGCTGTTGCATAATATGTCGAAATTATCACTGCTCTCACTCCATAACAATACCATACCATTCACTCTCCTCCGTCCTCTTTTTTCTTGGTTTATCTGTAGATTAGCGTGTTAAATGTATTTCATTCCCAAAATATTTCATGTTAGACTTCTAATATTGCTTTGTTGTCTTATTTACCACACAACTGTCTAGTCTAAGTATAATATGCTAAATTAATTCTGGGAGTATAATCACTACAGTCATTTGCATTTATAAGACCTATGCGACACTGGTTTAACTTGGATTCATGTTAATAAGAAGAGAATAAAAACATGGATTCTTTTAAATTACTAAACGTTTCAATGAGTAATGAACCCTATGGTTGATACACAAACGGTCTCCAGTTGTGCATGGTTATCGTTAAGGATGAGTAACTCGATGTGTCAGTGATCTAACCATACAGCAATGCAGCACAGATATATAGGTTAACGTTGTACTTTTTCGTAAAACTTCAGGGAAAAATTGATCAGAGAAACCACACTTTCAGTGGGTCATCATCAACGCAGTACCTTAGATATCTAAGAAATAAAATTGTTATGATTAAAAGATAAACTAAATTCCAAGGTACCTAAACTCACTATATATAGAAGTAAACAAAACGAGTATTTCTCAAAAAGATGAGAAAAAAATGTGTTTGTGGGTCATAAGGCCTGTCATCATTTATCAGAAGCATCTATCATCAGGATATACATCAAACAAATCAAGAGTGGGAAAGCAGAAAGATCAGATGACATACCACCTAAAGCACTGAAGTCAGACAGGGGTAACTGCAAACATGCTTCACGTTCTATTCAAGAAGATTTGGGAAGAAGAATAAGTGTCGATGGACTGGACAGAAGAATACCAGGTATACCAAGATATCAACGGGAGGTGATCACAGAAAGTGTGAGAAATACAGAGGCGTCACACCATTATTGGTATCAGGAAAAGTTCCCAACAGTGTGGTTGAATCGAATGAAAGATTCAGAAGACTCTCAACATCGTGATCGGCAGGCTGGATTCCGTAAGGATCGGTTGTGCACAGACCGAATCACGACACTACGGATCATCTTTGAACAATCAATTGAATGAACTCGTCACTATACATCGTCTTCCTTGACTACGAGAAAGCGTTTGACAGTGTGTATAGGAGAATTTTATGGACCCTTATTAAACACTGTGGTGTATCTGAGAAGATCGTAGATATCATACGGAATTCGTACGACAGACTACACTGTGGAGTCGTGCATGGAGGACGGCTGACAGATGCATTGCAAGTGAGGACCGGAATCAGACAAGGCTGTCTACACTCTTCTTTTCTCTTTCTTCTGATGGTTGATTGGATTATGAAGACCTCCACATTTCAGGCGAAGCACGGATTAAAATGGACAGGTTGGATGCAACCAAACGACTTGGACTTCGCAGACGACCTGGGTCTTCTATCCTACACATTTGATTAAATTCAGGTAAAGACAACTTGTGTAGCAACAGCCTCTGCAGCAGTAGGCCTCAGCATACACAAGGGAAATGCATGATCCTCAAATACGACATTTAGAACACTAACCCAATCATACTTGATGGAGAAGCTCTGGAAGAGGTGGCAACTTTCACGTATCTAGGTTGCATCATTGATAATCTAGGAGGATCTGATGCGAATGTGAATGCAGGGATCGGCAAAGCAAGGGAAGTATCCCTACAATCAAAGGATATGTGCAACTCAAACAGTTGTCAGCCAATACCGAAGTCTCACTTTTCAACACAAACGTCAAGACAATTCTGTCATACGGAGCTGAAACTTGGATAACTACTACACATATTATCAACAGAGTATTTGTAAACAGTTTTCTATTCTAGATACTCACTGTCCGTTTGTCGTATGCCATCAACAACAAGCTACTGTGGGAGATAACAAACTTAACCCCATCTAAAGAGGAAATTAGGAGAAGGCGCTGGAGGCGGGATAGCTGGGTTGTAATAAGAGAACATTAGAACAGTGGCGACGAGAAAAAAGGAAAACAAATTCAAGGTGCCCATATCAGGTGACCAGCTCAACAGTATCCCATCCCCAACGCCACTGTTATAATTATCTCTTATTACAACTCAGCTATTCCTATTGCTTAGTACTCTCGGACACCAATTCACTAGACAAGTCCCCAAATCAGAACACAGTTGAACAGGAAAGAGATTATATTCCGAATAACAAGGTTAGATGAAAGAAAGAAGCGCAGTAGGAAAAACCTTAGTATATTTATAGTTTTTACATGAGACGATTCTGGAGTGTTCTCCAAGAATCTGCTAGCGCTGATTGGACAAGTGTCAGCCAATAAGCGTGCGCCAAAGCAATCGTACATTGAGCATGCTTTGATCCAATGTCCAGCTAACAATAGGACATACTTTGTGGAAATCACCGAACTACATCACGATGCAATCCCTGACTCGGAATCTTGAAGGGACAAGGAAAAAAAGACCAGAGGACAGACTGTGTTGGAAATTGGAGGAAGACATGAAGATAATGAATAGAAATTGGAAACAACTAGAGAGGAGAGTCCAAGACAGAGTTGGACGGAGAATGCTGGATGGTGGCTTACGCTACTTCATCAGGGTTATCAGGAGCTAGTAAGTAAGTACCTAGAATGAACATAACGAAGCCACTAAAAGCATCTACGAATCTGTTATGCAGAATGGGAAACAGAACTAACTATCTAGAAGATTCAGGTCGTTTGGTGTAACTCATTTTATTCACAATCTTTTGGTTTTATAATTGATTATACAATGTCACTTCCTAAATTGGATCGAGTAGATTCAAACTTGTTTTATAATGTTTTCTTAGCCTGTAATTTTTTGATATCTTTTGCTAGATCTTGCCATTTTAAAAAGACCCCTTACCTGTCCATAAGTATTTGACTTTTAGTTCGTAATTGACAATGCATATCAGGGGGCTATGATTATTGTGGAGAAGCAGGTGATAATCTTAAAACTTATATTAATAAAAGTAATAACGATAATTATACTCGTAGTAATAATAATGGTAATTAATCAAAAGTACTTTATCGATGGGGTTTGTGGAGTTAAACCATGTTGTAAACGAGACACTAATTGACCAAAAGTATTGGATTATAGTTGGATTATAACGCAGAGTGATTAAAGTCAGGAGTCTGAATTCATTCTATTGTAATTATGTGGTTTAAAGATATTCTAACCGCCATAAAGTATTCGGCTCTATGCTTCTTTAGATCGTAGATACTAACTGTTGAGGAATTCCAAAAATTGATAAAATAGCTGGTCAATGCTTCATCGTTTTCAATAGTTTTCCAGCTTATATCAGTTCGCTAAAAAATAGTCAATTTCAGGATAAATCTCCATTCAAACACTTAATTAGTACGGAAAAAACGTTCGTCATTGGAAGGTAAATTGAAGTATCTTATGTCATTACTAAACTAATGCTTATGACTAATGTTGTGTGGAATGAAGTTATTTCAAAGACTTCCTATATTGTATGGCGAGAAAATTGATTTTTTAACGAGAAATTGTTGAAAGTTGCATTTCCTTAGTCACAATAAATCAATCCAAACTGTGTTTTCTTATTGATTAAGCATACTTACTCTCTTATTATACTACATAATGTTTAACTGACAACGGTACAAAGGTCTTTTCAGCGAGAATGAAATCTTTTAAAAAGATTACTATTATTAATAAAAATGAAACGAAATTCTTGTTATTGTTAATCATCTAAATAATTCTATTTGTTATTCATTTCTTATTAACAGAATCAAAAATTAAAGCATAAACAGAAGAAAGAATTTAACGTGTTATCACAACTTATCACAGCCGTAAAATCAAATGCACTTGATAAAATCCCCAAAGTACTCAATTTATCAGCTAGGGATGTATTTTTGTATGCTTTAAATGAATTCCCATGGAAGTGTATTAGAGTTAAATCTTTTCCTACAACTGTTTGTACCGCTATTGCTATAATTTTACAATGTCCAGTTATTGGTTTATCATCTGATTATTATATACTTATGTCAAAGAGACAAAATATTCTTAATAGTTTGATTTCTCAACCATATTCGAGTCCGACATTTCTTACACTTCATTTGGCCAATCTAAATTTGAGTGGTTCTAGTAAAAGTAGTGGTGAAAAAGAAATGTTGTTTCACAAATTTATTCCTAAACTTTCAATTTTAGCGAGATCTTCAGATTTTCACTTGCCTCTTTTAGCTGTATTAGTTGGTACAGATGTTGTGTCTAATGTAAGACTTCCATTAGAATTACAAGAAAAATTACAAACAAACAATTCGACAATAAATTACTCACAACATCGATTATCTGTACTCCTTGAATGGTTTTCACAGTTCGATTCAAATTCAATTAAACCATTAGAAGATGTTATTAACTGTTATCCAGTTGAACAGCGCACTTCTATAATAAACGATATGATACACGGCATTTCTCGTTTTGTTTGCCCTCTAGAAGAAACTAAAAGTGTTATGAGTCTATTGAGTGATAAAAGTTACTTTAATGATACTTCAACAAATACATTTACAACTATTAAATCATCATTCAGATCTAGTGGAAGTGTTGAGGATGTGATTAATTCACTAAAAGGTACCATTGTAGCATACTTATGGCATGAAGACTACACAAATGGGTGGCCTTCTCGTCTTCTTTATAATTTCAGGAAGGGAATATTATTTTCAAAACCATCTATTTATTCATCTCGAGGTGTTTTTCTTCTCACCGTAGTTGAAGATCCAAAATGCCCATTCTCAGTGCATGAAACGTCATTCTTAATTCGAAGACTACACTATCAAATTTATGTGTCATTGGAACGCAGTTTAAGTATGGAAAATAAACTTGTCGGATTAAATCCTGATGTTATTGAATATGTGAGACAAAATGATAAATTAGTGATGTATCAAATCCCAGTCAAATATATTCCTTTAGATTTCAACAAAGTTAGCACAGATGAAGTTATTAAAGAAAATCTGGGTTTCGTCAAACTACCGGAAAACAATTTAATCCCTAAGTTACTTTACAGTTTAGCAGTAGTCTTATCATTTTGGTTTCAACAATTAAAGTATACCTCTATTGAGATCCCTTCTGTGTTTAGTGAGTCGTCTGTTGGACTTGCTGTAGCTTCTTGTGCTGTCGCAAATATATACAACGATGGTTCGTCTATTAGTGAATTATGTGAATTTTATAATAATCTAAGCAGAATGCCTGATCAGTTGTCGATTTCAGGTAGCAATTCTACTAATTTCAGAATTGATATTGTACACAGCTTTAATGCTATACAGTCAACTTTTAACAGTTTTAAAGATTTGGTTACAACTCTCAACTGTCTTGTGCTAGAGAATAAACAGTCAAATTATTTCACTTTTGGACAGTCTTGGATACTGTTTCCCTCTGGAAAGCTGGTACATTTTTTAACTACTCAGTTAGATTCTTTAGAGCCCTGTGGTAGACGTTATTCAGTCATAAGAGTATGGCTTCCGAAACTTCTCTTTATTAAACAAAGAAATCCCGACGCAACATCTAGGCTGACCAAAGCGATAAATACTTTGATCACTTTTATTGATCTTTGTGATATGATTAAAATTAGTCTTCCATCATCTTTAGATTCATTTTATAGCATCCATGAATTAGAAAGCAATTATGTCCGTGAAACGACGCATACGGTTCCTAACCTATGTGATCGAAACAATACGAATCTAGTTAATAAACCAAGTAATTCAACATTTAATGTAATATTTCCTCGTGGCTGTCGAGAAAGAAGAGAAAACAGAACGAGTAACAAAAGGATTTATAACAAACCTTCAGCTGAAAATATTGTGCATAGTGCTCAAGTACGTTGTCTTTTCCAAAGTAATTTACATTCAACATATGGAAAAACCTAGAACAGCGACTTACAAATCATCTAGAAACATAATCTGTTAAGAATATTTTGGAAATCCTAATCCTGTTCACATGTAACAAGTTGTAGTACACTGATTTTTAATTAAGTAAGTACATTCATTTTTGTGTTTAGATCATTAACAGATGTATCCATACTATCGAAGAACAGAATATCTCTATTTTTTACCTCATACTTTTCTAATCTTCATTTATTATGTATTCATGAGTCCATTTGACCGCTATACCGGTTGCTCTTTTTATATCTAATTTCATATATATCAGATATGATTTTTTCAAAGAATTTAATTTAATACTATTTCCTTTCTTCACTTGACTTTTCAGTCGGTTGATTTCAAGCAGTTTGGTATTTAGTACAAATATATATGGATCAGAGTCGCCGGACCTCAAATTAACAAGATATGGAACAGTAGAGTAGAAGTAATAATATCCATTTTATTAGAAATCGAAATATGAAAATATAAATAATAGGAGGGAACGTGCCTAAATATGAAAAATAATGGAATGACACTAGACTAAAAACTTATGAGATAAAGAATGAATGCGACTGTGTTACTACGGTCAGTTTCCTTATCGTGACTCCGTTACCTGGCTTCGATTTGATCATATGGTATGAATACAACGAAATAGATATCCCACCAACCCCTTTTTATATCTGCTGTCTTAATTCGCGTTAGTGAGTAACGGAAGAAGTAAAACACGAGAATGGCTTTTGGTATGTATATTTCATGCACTATTTACCGCAGATGGACAACGGGGGAAACGAGACGTAGAAGGCAAGGATTTCAACTCGATTTGATAAGGCAACATTCACCGTTTGCAAACGGACAAAAAAATAAGCTAAAAATGGGTTGTGAGCAGAATAAGTGGTAAACACAAAGTACGCTCATATAAGGACAGTCGACGTTATAAGCGAATAACTGACAAGGTCGAAATCTGTGTAGATAATGACTCAAAACGAATGAATTATTTGGTCTCTTCAAAAGCCCGAATAGCACATGTAGGCGTGTCAAAGTGCTAAACGATATATGCGCCCAACATGTAAAATTGTAATTTACAGTTATAGCACAGCCCCCCACTTATGTGGCTCAGGATAGTAGCCTATAAGTTCGTGGAATAATATCTTATATTGCCTTGACTGTTATGATATTATTTCGAGATAATTCCTTTGGTTTCTCATATCAATTATCCTGATTCCGTTATAAAATAGACACTTACTTACGCCTGTTACTCCTCGTAAAGGAGCATAGACTGCTCACCAGAATTCTCCATCCAACCCTGTCCTGGGCAATCCTTTCCAGCTCCTTCCAGTTGTTATTCATCCTTTTCATATCTGCTTCTATTTCCCGACGTAATGTGTTCTTTGGCCTTCCTCTTTTCCGCCTTCCTTCAGGATTCCAAGTTAGGGCTTGTCTCGTGATGCAGTTTGACGATTTGCGTAGTGTATGTCCTATCCATTTCCATCGTCTTTTCCTAATTTCCTCTTCAGCTGGAAGCTGGTTTGTTCTCTCCAACAGAAGGCTGTTGCTGATGGTATCCGGCCAATGGATGTTGAGTATCTTGCGTAGACAACCATTCATAAATACTTGCACCTTCTTGATGGTGTTTGTTGCAGTTCTCCAAGTTTCAGCTCCATACAGTAGGACTGACTTGACGTTCGTATTGAAGATTCTCACTTTGATATTGGTTGAAAGTTGTTTTGAGTTGCATATGTTCTTCAACTGTAGGAATGCTGTGTTTGCTTTGCCAATCCTCGCCTTTACGTCTGCATCTGAACCTCCTTGTTCATCGATGATGCTTCCTAGATATGTGAAGGATTCTACATCTTCCAGAGTTTTGCCATCAAGAATGATTGGATTGCTGTTCTGCGTTTTGAATTTGAGGACCTTGGTTTCCCCTTGTGTATTTTGAGGCCTACTGATGCAGAGACTGCTACTACACTGGTTGTCTTTATCTGCATTTGTTCATGTGTATGCGATAGGAGGGCTAGGTCATCTGCGAAGCCCAAATCGTCTAATTGATTCTGAGCTGTCCATTGTATTCCGTGTTTTCCTTCAGATGTAGTGGTCTTCATAATCCAGTCGACCACCAGAAGAAAGATGAAGGGAGAGAGTAGACGGCCTTGTCTGACTCCGGTTCCTACTTAGAATGCGTCTGTCAGCTGTCCTCCATGCACTACTTTGCACTATAGTCCGTCGTATGAGTTCCGGATAATATTGACAATCTTCTCAGAAACTCCGTAGTGTCGAAGAAGTTTCCATAACGTTCTCTCATCTACACTGTCAAATGCTTTTGCATAATCAATGAAGTTGGTGTACAATGACGAGTTCCACTCAATTGATTGTTCGACCATGATCCGTAGTGTCGTGATTCGGTCTGTGCACGACCTGTCCTTACGGAATCCAGCTTGTTGATCTCGAAGTTGGGCGTCTACTGCACCTTTCATCCGGTTCAGCAAAACTATGTCAAAGACTTTCCCTGGTACTGACAGTAGTGTGATTCCTCTGTAGTTTTCACATTCGCTCAGGTATCCTTTCTTTGGAATCTTGATGAGGTGTCCTTCTTTCCAGTCCATCGGCACTTGTTCCTCCTCCCAAATCTTTTTGAATAGAAGATAAAGCATGCTTGTGGTTGTTTCGATGTCTGATTTCAGTGCTTCAGCTGGTATATTGTCGGAAAATAGATACTAATGATGTGAGATTTTTAGAAGACAATATGAAGCATCGACTACAGTTTATAATTGAACAGCGTAGATCACTAAGCCACAAGCAAAAAAACGTATTCGAGCAGTGATTTAGGCAACTAACATTTAAGTTAGAAAAAGGGATGTGTGCGTAGGCTGTCATATGTGATCAAGCATATATTTTCATACAGACATGATAATAACAATAACAATACCAACATATCAAATTGTTACTGTTTTTATTAAAAGTTTTCGAAATAAGTTAACTGAAGGGCTTGACAAAGTTAAACAAATTTAAGTGTGGCAGTGGTGCTATAAGGATATTATAGTTCCAAGACTAACTTATTTGTAACTACTACATGTTCAAACGAAGCATTCTACGCTTCTGAGTCGTAAAAATCTTGTCTCAAGTGAATACTTTGGAAATATCATTGGTGGAAGGTTGACTTGTGTACCACTGTACCCTGGCTCAATGGTCTCTAGGTTGCGCGTTCGCATACGAGACCGTAGGACCTCGGTGCAATTCCTGGTTTCTTGAAACTGGATACCTATTACTTATTATCCCGTACCCAAACAAGACGACGGTCCATCACCCTCTGGTTTTCAACGAACTTTTAACATATACTTCGGTTCGTGATCTTAGTAGTACTGTTTCCAATTAGATCTTTGTCAGGCTTTACTCTAATGTACTGTTGATAGTCTATAAGTTAATGATAATAACAAAATGAATTAGATTGATAGTGTAATGACAGATATATCTAGTATACTTATTATCTAATTATCAGTTTTAGATTTTTACTTTGTTTAGTCATATACTCTATTTTGCTGTTATCACGGATTCATAAACTACCTTCACTTGTATAATGTTTTCATATAAATATTACTGTATATTATAGTTAAACCTGTTAATGATCTAATTGAAAACAGTACTGTTCTCTTATATATAATGCTCTAATTTATACTATGGGATTTTTTAAAATGTTTTTTTCTTCACGTAGAACTTTCTATAAGTATTTAATGTTAACAAGCATTACATTTTATGGATTGCATACAGCTGCTTAACAGTTGTATCCTTATTTTGAGAGAAAATTTAGTGCTCGTTTTTCGGAGTCATTCTAGTATGCGACTGAATTAGTAATTTAAAAGAACTATTCCTTTTCAAGAGTATAATTTAAAATACGAAAGGGAAAAGTAAAGAGGCACAAAAATGAATGCAACTGTAGGAACGAAATGCACTCCTTTTATGTAGTGTTTTAACTCTATATCTGTTCGGATTTGATGAGACATTTTTGAACAAAACTTACCATCTGTTAATTAACACAGTACTTTAAGCCCAATCTTATTGTAATCAGAAAATATTGGACACTAAGTTACTTGCTTGACTCTATAACTAACAACTTTCACATTTTATTTGGGTATATTGAATCATGTCCAGTTGATTCCTCAGCAGTTTTACTTGTTACACTGACAGAATTAATATACTTGCTGAAGCTGACCTAGGTATATTACTATATGAACCAAAGCATTGTTTATTGACACCATTACAAGAAGCATGGCAAACCTAGCTTGCGAACTTTACTTTCCCTCAACAAGCAGGTGATATTGTTAGAAATGTTTCGGATAATTTGGCCAAAGGACTAAAGCTATCATACCACTTATATTTTGTCTGCTTCTAAACATACTCTTGATTACTAATTCATTGTTACATTGTTGAATGGTTTGGAATGAGGATAGTTATGACCGCGAAGCAATCTGTGTTCAAATTTAAGAATCAATTGATGACTAAATCACGAGCAAGATTAAGGCATTTAAACTGGTTTTGAATAAACGATACTCGGTAAAAATGGTTTGTGTGCAGACTAGTTTACCATCATTATTACGTTGTTTGAATCGTTTAAGCCAACTGTAACGAATACTGGAAAGTGACGACTTAAGAAATATTATTTTACTTTTTATTTTTTGGTGAAGCAAATAAGGTTTTTTAAACATATTAAATGCTATAAATCTGTTAAATATCTTCCTCTTATGTAGGGCATAGATAATTGATGCATGTAATATTTAATTATTTGCCCATCGCTGCTCAGTTTCCATATAGACTAATTAACAGTTATCATCAAGTTCTTGACACTAATTTATGCAAATGACAGCAACATATGTCGATACGTAGTAGAGAATAACCATCTAGAAGTGTTTTAAGTTGATCTCAGCACTCAAGCATCTAGTCTCGGTTAGCAACAACACTTAACAATAAAGCTAAGTATCACCATACCCAGCGAGCATAAAAATGGAAACAATTATCTATCTGGAGAGACATCTCAACCGTTGGTTCTTACGCATAAATACTTAAGAGCCCTAGTAAGTCATGATTTGAAAACTGATACTTAATGTTTGTTTGCGATTACAGATTTTAGAACAGTTTTGGCGTCAAAAAGAACGCTTTAGTAGTTTGAATAACAAGATGCTTATCAAGCTTTATCAGACACTGGTAAGATCACAAGACCTTACGTTAAGTAATGGGCAGGCAGATGAGGGTTATTGTAAGTAGGTCATACACTTCACCAAATCTACCATCTGCACGTCGCGATATCGGTCGATTTAACTACTTGTAACAAAGTAGTATGATGGGGATCATTAAACGAACAAAGTAATAATTTTAAAGATAGCAAGAACAAAGATTGGTGCAGAATAATATGGATTCATTTTATTTCGTTAGATTCTCATCAGCTGCTTACAACGTAAAATATTTGAAATTCAACATTATTACATATATTGACATACTTATACATAAGAGGGTGATTAAGGAAGAATAAATGTATCATGGTGTAGCGAAGATTCCGATAGAGTTAATGAGGTCATAAAATTTTGTCTCGAATAAATAAAGTTTGAGAGGGAAAGTTCCGGAACATTGAAATAGTGATTAGAACTCATGAAAATAGATTAACGGTAATAAAGAAAATATGAATTGAAATTAGTCATTTATGTATGATGTAAATTAAACTTCACAAAGAGCTGGAATAATGACGCAATAAATCAAGAGAAGTAAATGAGTAGAAAGGGGGGGTTATTGTTACCAGGGTAAAGAAAGATTTATTACTGTCTCTTTTTGTATACACAGGCCTGGTTTTAGACGTCTGATTACCAACACTTCAGCAAATTTCAGAAGGTTGGAGCTTGATTGTTTATTATTCACCTTGAAGGACTTCAGTGTGTCGACTTCGTGTCCTGTGTCAAGGAGATGTCTTGCGATGGCACTGTTGAATGCTTTCAATCCATTTGATGTTAAACTTTTTGGAATATGTTCTTTGAATCGGACGTAGGCTCTCCTTCCTGTTCCACCAATGTAACTGCTTCGGCAGATACATATGAATTTGTATACACAGTTGGTGGTAACATGAAAGGGATACTTGTCGACCTTTGATTGTGTAAAAGAACATGTCGTTTTGGACAGGATAATCAATTTTGCTGCAGGATAAGTTCTTGTCAATGCAGTTTTCAGTCTCATATTGATTGATCCTGTGACATTATCACCTTTGAATTTAAGTTGAATAAAAAC